ATTGAAAGGTTTATTCGAAGTATTAAAAAGTAGTGTATCGGTGAAAGGCGATTAATGGTAATAATCTGAAAGTTTCATTTAATATGAATTATTATTAATTGATGTACATTAGAATTAAACATAAATTTTACCATTGTTTTTAAAAAGAAGCTTTACAAATAAAGAAGCAAGCAAGCATTTACGAAAGAATGTTGAAATTACGCGAGAATAAAGCAGCAATAATAGTCTGCTGGCAGACGGCCATTGATTTTTTTTTATGGTGGGCCTTCTCTGCAAAGCATCTTTCTTAATGCACTAAACTTAAGTCAACCGGTTCTTTTCTAAGCACCTTACGACAATCCCAGGGACACGTCGGATTGCGAAGCAGCACGTCCGAAAAGTTGTTAAAAGCGTAAAATAAGAGCTGCAATGAGTTTAAAACATATTTAAATTAAATCCGAGATAAAGGCCGGTAATTGGATTAGAAACACGCCGTTGAATTTATGCCCCATTGTTCTACGTTCCATGACTATTTGGCTTTTAATTGATAATTAGTCGGAATACAAGGCAGACTTTCGCGAAAACGTTGCACAATACACGCGAAATTAAGATGGGGAAATTGAAAACACGCAGTGCCTCAAGTATCGGGAGTAAAATAATCCACATTGCGTGATCGAACTTAATACGCAGTTCCAATTTTTCATCGACTGTCCTCCAATTTTTCCTCTACGGGTCAATTTACCTGGCGCAATTACACAATAAATGTCTCCACGTGCATTTGCACAAACAATAGTACGTTTATAAAAAAAAAAGTGCCGATGTTCTATATTTATATTTGTCAGGGGCAAAATGTATATTTCGTTATTCCATAGAAAACCTAGACGTTTTATGGAATAGCTATACATTTGATAATATTATTTTTCTATAATAATTTGTTATTATTAACATTATGTTTTTACAAATTATTTTTTTTATAAGTTGAGCTTGAATGGCATTCAAAGTTACAAACGGTTTAGATTCAGCAGATGGTAGTAGTTCATTTCTTTCAGTATTAGACATTATATAAAAAACCTAGACAAAGTACAAAATTAAAATTATTAGGCAAAATTACTAATACTTTTAGTTATACATAAAATAAATTATATACACTTTTCCGCTAACATATTCATCGAAATTGTATACTTTTCCAAAATAATAGCGACGAATTAGACTGACGTATATACCGTGTACGTACTACAATCACCGCATTCAAGCATCACTCATTAATGAGCGTTTAGAAAGTGTTGCTACCCAAGGTTTTCCTCAGATTCTATACAACAGTATATTGCTCTTGTCCGCTGTGGCCAATGCACCATGCGAGGCCCGACAAAACAAAATAACGCACAAATATTTGCTTGCGGTCACAGACGCAGACTAGAACTAATGCAAAAATAATAAACATATTTGTATCACCCAAAAACAAATACTTTCTGTTTCCGGAAGAATTGGTTTTAGAAAGTCCTCCACTTTGTTTTCAATGCAACAATGAATGCCAACAGGAAATCAAAGTTGGATTTGTTAAAGATATCGTTAATTAAAATAAATTGATGACATTCCATTCTAACAACACGCAACTATTTTAATTAGCAACCAACGTTAAATTTTCTTTTGCTTGCTTTGCACACGTAATTGTACACAAAAATGTGTTTACTATGCTATTTAGTCAAGATTTTGTTGTAGACTTAAACTAGAGATTAATTTCTAGCGGTTGACACATATTTATTTAATTAATTATGATTAAAAAATTATCTTCATTTTTTAATGCAATTAAACAATATATTAGTATTAATAATACAAGCATAATCATGTAAAATGTGTAATTTGTAACTAATTTGTAACTAAAACTATATATGCGAAATTAATTAAAAATGAAGGTACATTAGAAAGGACAGCAAGGTAAATACAGACTTAAGTCAGATTTAAAATAAATTACTAATTATGCTTTAGGTGAATGTCGTATTTTGATATTTGAGAAGATCTTATTAAGTCCTCCGAGAAATTAATGTTTCATAACTAAAGTTAAGCAACATATTGGTGACTGGTATACTTTTCCAACTTCAAACCTGGTCAATATTGTAAATACTACTTAAGATACTTAGTAGTAACTTACTACTAGTACTGAAGTGAACGTTATATTATATACTACAACAATTGATAAAAATAAATCTGTCAGTTAAGATTAACCAAATATAAAAAAGCGCAAGTATTTATATTCTCATGCAATTGATTTTCTAATCATATTTAGTATGTATTCATAATAAAACAATAATAACTAAAAAAACAATGTAATCGTAAATTTCAATTTCCTTCATTAAATCTTATCAAACTTATGATTTCCTCAGCATTTGTTTCGTAACAATGACAATGCATTCAGAATTTACATTCGAAATAATGGATATTCAGGTATTTCAATTACTTGCAACTTCGTGCCTATTTTTTCTTGCGCAACACAATAGAACTCCATAAAAAAACAGATCTGTCTCTTTAATCATATTTTTTGGATTGTTAATTAATCTTCTACTGTATTTAAGATTACTTATTGTTTCAATGCGGTATTCTTAAACTTATCAAGTACGAGCCGTGCGATACTCGTAGAAACCTAAAGATTCTTCAGGGTCATCTTGTTCAAAATTCCCAGTACGTACATTTCGTGGAATATTGCAATACGCCTACCTCCAAGAGTTATTCTCTGTAGCGAGTTATTTTGAGGCTTCAATTATTTCATATATAGCCGTCATTTGCAATAGTCTTATTGCTTTAATTGTGCGAAAAGCGTAGCGTCTATTAATACGCTTATTCATTAAAATTAAAACAATTAGACCGTGCAATTCTGGAATCATATCGTATAGAAATCTATATGGAATGTGTCTAGACCAGATGCAAATATATATATATAGCAAAAAATAAAACATCTCGTCATCTGATGATATAATTCCATATATTCATCTTTAAATAAATAAAATACAGTATTCCCTACTATTTGAAACCTGACTAATCGAGGTAAATACAAAAATGAACAAGACTGTATTAACGAAAAAAACTTTCATTTTCAAATCGCACTATGTGAGGTAATGTTTCCTTAAATTATAAAATAATAGAATATAATCGCAATTAAAAAATGTAAAAATAGAAATCAAACATTTCTAACGAATGAGAAATTCATACACGACTAAATCTACAAATACGCAAATTACATTTTGTACTATCTGAGATCTCGGATGAAACAAACAAAAAAAAAACATTTAATTTGTTATTTCCTTACACAAGGATGAACATGTAATTACTTGATTGCCATTTATTGCTATTAATGAGCCAGACATACGCAAATTAAAGAGCATGACATATTGTCGAATCTAAAAATACTAACTTAGCATGAGAGGACACAAAAGAATCTTAAAACTTAAGATAATCTTTATCGCAATGACACAACAGAAAAGTTTTATTTTTTGCACCGGTAAAATCGTATTCTTAAAATACAAGTTTTTGCATAACAAAAACTAAAACATTAGGTATACTTGTAAATAGAAAAATGCATATGGTTTACACTCTGATAACAAACAAATATTTTTAAACATAAAATGCATGTGGTTATTTCTAATGCATTTCACACTTTATGCAAATAATTTAAATGTATGGGACAATCATGGCATAAAATAATTTAAAAATATTTTTTCTCCTAGTGTTTGAAAAATTCTAACTTTTATTTGGTAATAATTACAGAGTCACCAATCTAAATACTGTCCGCTACATGCCTTGTTTAATTTATATTTCATGTAATAAATTAAATTCCTTAAAAGGATTAGAAACTTATGATTTTATATTTTAGTTTATAAGATATTTAACCCTAATAAGAAAGTTAACAACTAATGCTACTAGACGCTCTAGAATCCAGTTACTCTGAAAGCACGCCAAATAATTGATAAAAGCAACCATTCAATCACGAACTGTGCTACAATTCTCATTTTTTAAATTTTCTTGCATTCCAATCTTTCTGACAAGCAAAAGAAGAAATGAGGCAAAAACTGATTGCATATATTTAGTAAAATAAGTACAGATTGTGACTGCGCGCATTTTTATGGCCTTCTGTTCCACATTCTTAGTAAAAAATAAATGAACGCTGTGTGCATTATTACACTAAATATGTATAAGCTTTGTACACCATATGGCGCCCCGACATCTTTCAGTTTCATTAAAATATCCATGATATTATTGAGATCACCACTGAATGCAGCTGAATAAATAAACAACTGTTTGTATGCTGTCATAATAAATACTAAATTGTAAATGTATAGATTTTGTTGATGTAATTAATAAAATAAATTCAGAATATTTTTTCTAATAAACAAATGTTTGTTTATTAAAAAAATGCACGGTAAGAACATCAGCGATCAATGGGAATTGATTATAAACCACTCAAACATAGTAACTGATAAAATCCACTCCAATATTTATAAATACTAAAACTATTTTGAGAATTACACTTTTTCTGAATCAATTGATATGATCAGTCTTTCAAAATATACCAAGCTTTATCAGACAAATTAAAGTTGTTTGAGTGACAAACTTTTAAGCGGAAAGACTTTATTTACTTATGAAACAGTCAACATATTCTGTTACTGTTAGAAACAATCCACTTCTAGGTATTATTAAAAATGATCCAACAATAATGTTGACAAATCTCTGATGAAGTCTATTTAAAGCAGGCATATTTTTCGCTTTTTTAAATATTGGATCAGTTTATTTTTCTATTTGATTATGATATATTTTTAGTAAGTATATTTTTGTTGCTTAATATACACATATTTTCATCAATGACGAACATGTTGTGCAGACGTAAATAAAAAAATGTCTATTTAGTGAATTAAATGATTATGATTGCGAAATTATCACATGAGAAAGTACAGCTTATGATTATTAAATCTTAAAACAAGAAACTTGAATGCGTTTGCAAATAATAATACAAAAAAAAAACAAGCACTTACTTCTGTTTATACCTCATTTGCCTCGGACTGAGATTGGTGTTGAAATGATCACTCTTCAGCATGATGGAGTTGTCTTTGCCATTGTTTGTAGGTGATATAGTCATCTTTGTCCTATAGGACACACTCAACTGGAGTGTTCCAATGGGTGTGCAGATCTGTCCAACTCGCACTTGCTTGTAGCCATCACCTAATGTGTGCAGCTGAGGTTCCTCCATGTAAATGCGATAGCAAATAATATATGAATCAGGTCCCTGCCTTCTGGATAACTTATAGGCAGGTGTGACTCTTGTAACAGACACTAAGGATTTCAGCAAGATTCCCATTCGATTGTAAACTGTGTGAGTAACTCTAACAGAAGGATCACATTGTTCAGGCACTATGCCAAGGCACCAAGACTCTAGGACCATGTGGTCACCTTCAACAGTCCGCAAAGAAATTTCAACACACAGTGGTAATCGAGCACTGACAATCTCTCCATTTAGAGCCTTCTTTGTTTCTGCTAGCACATCTGGTAGGTCCTCAATAGCTAAATTGAACTGCAAATGAGTTATTATTTGTTGTTTTTTTTTTTGATAAAGTGTGTTGCAATCTTACCCAGTCTGTGCCAGTAGTGTGCATTTTACATTGTGTTGATTTCTTTTCTCCTAACCTGGACTGCACAATGACCTGTGCAGATTTGAGGGCTAGGAATTTGGTGAACTTGTCCAAGTCCTTCTTGTCTTGAGCGCTGATCTTCATTGCCATTACTTGTATATTGGGCGTCGATTAGATGTTAACCATTTGAAAACGGCATGAAGGCATGAGAATACACGTGAATCGGAACTATTGATTTTGCACGCAGCCTCGATTTCAACCCGAAGAAAACAACAACAAACAACGTAGATGATGGATGATTCGCATGGAAACTACACACTCAGCAAAGCACAAAGATTATTTTCGGCATGCCTACAGCACAGTCGAGCGCCCGCACTCAGCCGATTCGGCCAATTGAAACAACACAAATCGCATTTAATGAACCAGCGGCAGCAGTAGTAGTGGTGGGACAGAACGTAAGAAACGTCATTACGTCACAATAAACAGTGCGACATGGAGGCGCCTTGAAGTTAGCCTCCCATAATCCCTGCATTCCCCACACTCATATGTTCCTTGTTGATAGATGGCTGCACTTTAGATTAGATAACGTATTTGAACGTATTGCAATGTTATCATCATAGCATACTGAATTATCAGAAATACCGAGTATATCATTGTATTTGCTTTTTAAAACTACTTATTCATTAATCAAACAATTAAAGCAATATAGTAATAATTTTAGGTTGCATTAATACCAATTTACTCAACATAAAACTAATGAAATTTCTATATTTACTTTTTCAAATAGAATTCACGTACACAGTATACGATAAATATAAAGTATATATATTTTAAAATAACTCCGTATAAGCATATACATATATGTATAATTTATATCGTAGTCTTGCATATTACATATGCAACCAAATATACAGAATAAGTTACCGAGTATTTCTTATAAAAGACCCACCTAAATATAGGCCCATTTGGATGAATATTTTGTTTTTCAAATAAAACCACATGGACTTTTATTTGGGGACAAAAAAAATCTCTGACACAACAAGAACTGAATAAAAAATACTAATAATAATTCTCTTTTTTTATTAAAATATAATTATTTATATCAGAGATATAAATCTCTTTTGGCCCTATATCTACCACTTTCGGGTTTATTGGCCCCACAATTATTTTTGTTGGTTTTTGGGAATCAAAAGTGATATTGAACGTTTTTCAAGGGTACAAACATCTATCTTGTTACAAACCTTTCAATATAATTGTTTTGGGTTTGTATCGTTTTATATTTCTTACACTTTCATCGGAATTATGGAGATAATTGCCGAAACAATTATTTACTTTTGAAATGTTTAGGATACTTTAGATTAAAATTGTTAAACTATTTGTTGTTAGTACATATATACAACTATGTCTATATTAGAGCGAAAATTTGAGTGGGAAAAAACTCAAAACTCATTAAAGGTGATTATTATTTGGGTGAATTATATTTATGTTACATCAAACGATGTTTTAAATTTAAAAAAATATTATGTTGCTGGATTACCCATACTAACAGAAACTTGATTATTGGCGATATTTGTCCATTGCAATATACAAAATTTACGAGTCGATTGAAAAAAATGTAAGCGATATGATGCAGAAAAAAAGAATACCAGGAGTTTAGATTATATAAATAGTATTTTATAAGTATTTTTATTTATTGTTTACAATAACTATATAGTACATTCGGAAAAGTTATAGTAAAAACCGCGTTAAGGCATTCTTGTGTACATTATTAGAAGTACTATTATCTGTTCACTAGAAAAATGTTTGTTTTTTTTTTTGGTCCACAAACAAATATTTCAAAGCTGCTGAATCTGTCACAAATTTCATTAATTATTTTTATATTGGCTATTATACAATTATAAACAGATGTGCCTTTTCCCTAGACAAAATATACTTGTGTGCGAATAATCAGTACACACAACAATAATAATTATAGTGAAATGGTTGGCCGCAACAATGTGTTGTCATGTGGTTAAAAATATGTGGGACCCACATGGACGAGCCACACCGAGTACAATAATACTAAGTACTATAGATTGATATGAGAATCAAACTTTGTACATAATAGTATTATATTGTTAATAAAAAAAGGATCCTATATAATTGAATACCATATACAGTGGAACCTCGTCTAACAAGCACCTCGCATAACGAGCATTTCGCTTAACGAGCAAAATAAATTGTAAGAAAAATGACTCGCTTAACATGCGACGTTTCGCATAACAAGTGACGATGAGAAGAGAAGTCCAGGATTGCGCGCCTTCTTCATTATTTTTAAAACTTGTGTACACATATTATGTGTATTTTTAAAATTTTGGAACGGGATAAATTTTAAACCGAAACTTTACCAAGTACAGCAAATTTTTATAAATGTGTACAGATATTTACTATGAAGGGGAAAAGTGGCAGTAAATACATATCTGGCACCCTTGGCGAGATATAGACCTCATCAACAGTCCGTTTTATATACCAATTGTTCAATAAGAATAATTTGGTGGTGGAAATAAAGCCATAATAATTGCTTAGTAATTACTATAGATTTACATATGCTTAGGGTGACCACACTGGTAAGACCAGTGTCCGCAAAATGTATATTCTGGACGGTTATATGTTAATATTAGAAGGAGTATTCTAGTAAATAATATAATTTTTTATTGAACTAGTATTTTTGTATATATTCGTTTGTGCATTCAAATGTACTTGTCGTCTTATGTAATTGACTTCAACAAAGAAAAAAATTTAGTAAGCAGGAATCTAAACAACAAACAGTATTTTATTTTCTTTATACATGACGCCAAAGAATAAATAAATGAATTGATAGATTAGTAAATACTATTACATTTTTCGGACTAAAAGACGCACCTTTTTACATAGAAAATGGACTCAATTTTGCGTCTTATGGTCCGAAGGTAACATTAAAATATTTCAAAAGACTTTCATATAACGTGAGGTATAAACTAAATGTTATCAATTGTGCTAAACAATATGGAAACAGAGTAGCAGAAAGACATTTTGGTCCACCACCAACAGAGAAAATGGTTCGAGATTGGAGAAAACAAGAGGAACCATTAAAAACCGCTAAATGCAATAAATCGTCTCTAAATTTGCGTCTTATTTAAAATAATTTTTGGTAATATTGTATAAGAAAAATAATTTATTGGCCTGATAATAACAATACAAAAGAAATATAAATCCTAAATAAATATAAAGAATAGATAACATAATATAAATTAATAAATGATGCTAAATTGGAAATATTTGTTTTTATTCTTTATTCTTTATCTATAATTAATTTATATCCATGTTTTCTGATATCCCTTAAAAAGGAAATATTTCAATATACATTATATCTAATTATCAATAGTTACTACGCTAATTGGGGTATTACTGTATTTTATTTTTTATTTATAGAAATGGTTTTCAAATTTTGGCGCGGAATGCTACGAGCGTAGCTTCTCGTTGCGATCGTAGCAGCTTGCTTGCTTGCAACGGGCGGGTTTAGCCATTTTGTTTTTCGTCGTCGATGTCAGAAGCCCGAGTGGCGCGACGAAAATCAATTCCAAGACCAAAGTCGCGTCTCGTCAATAGGAGATTTGTATTGACTTATATAATATATTTGGTTTGATTTCAAGACAATCCTTTCATTTGCAATTAATCACAAAAGATCTCATAATAAGATTTCGAGAAGAAAATTTTGTTATTATCTCGAGGTAAGTTGAAAAGCGAATTCGATAAAACTAATTTCATACAACTATACTACACATATATTTGTCGCGATGGCATTCACAGCAATCCGACCATTGTAATTTTACGTTCATCATGATTTTCTGTTTTTCTTTTCCTCTCTTATAAAATCAACTCTGACGAAAAAAAAACAATATAAAAAATGAATCATTTCCTGCTCAAAATTATTATTTGTTTATTGCATCCACACATAATCGTTGCATTTGTTATTTAGCGTCTGTCATTGCACAGAAAATGCGCATAGCTTAATTTGATATAATTGTTGCAGTTTCAATATGTAAACAAGTTCTTTTGTTTAAATACTAATGTTGATTTTTATTTGAGTTTAGCTGTTGCAGAGGGAATTGTTACAATTTCATTGTGGACAAAGAATAGAGTACATATAGTTCTATATGTGTGACTTTCTTTATTTACACTGTTGAATTACATGCCATAACCTTTCCTTGTTTCCTTCATGTATCCACTTCCTACTTAAATTTCAATTGCTGTTTCCAGTGTTTATGGTTTTTTTTTAGTTCTGTGTTACAAATATAAAGGAATATAATATCCTTGTGCATTTGCAGCTGTTGTGTTTGGAGTTCACCCCGAAATATCTGAATTTGTCTGTCACATTCATCCCTGGGAAGTGGATCAACTGTTTTCTTTATGAAATATGTGTGGAGCAAGTTATGTGCCTTTTGTGTTGAAGCCACCTCAAGAATGCTACTAGTTTGGAAAATGCTGTTTTTGCACTGTTTAATTGATTCAATGATGAGGTATTTGAATCTATTGATCATCTAAAATCTTTAGTTTTATTCATCTTTTTGGTAAGACATTTCTTTCACAGACTATTAAGAACCTGTTTTTCTTCACTTTGAAATCATCCTAAGATTTTAATAATTCAACGAGCAAAAGCTTAATATAACTTAGTTTGAAACAAATTGGTTTCGATACTGTTTCAATTGAGGTCACTTGCATTTTATTTTATACTTTTTTGGGTTTGCATTCATCAGTTAATTTTTTTAAGATTTTAGTATCTGTAATAATAATTGAATCTTCTTTATTAACAGATTGATGTTTTTGTTCAAAGGTTTATTAATTCTGTATATTTTGAGAAACATCTGAGCTTGATTCTTCCTGTAATCATTTTTCCATTCACATTTTGCATTATTGTTATTCCTTCAAAAAAGGTTTTGTTATAAAGGTCAGTTACTAATTTAGATAAGTTCCAATAAATTCAATTATTGTTGAAGAACTACAAAGTACTTTATTGCATTGCAATATAAAAGTTAAAAATAACTAAAATGGGATAGGTTGTGAATGGGAATATTGTTTCAACATATTTTTTTATTCTAAAAGATTACATTCTGAAAAATCTAAAACTATTTTATGAATGTTCACATTTAAAGAATATTAGGTTTATAATTTATAAGTTACAATATGTTTTATTTCTTCTGCAGAAATAAATATATTGTAAATAAATTAAATAAGATTAATTTATAATTTTCTAAAATTGGAAATTTTAGCTCAATACTCCACTTATTTTTATATACAACACAGGTTACACCAGTGGTCGACAACCCGCGGTTTCGGAGCTTCATGCGGCTCTTTTGAAGAGAAATTGCGGCTCCCAGTTTATAGAGCAGTGACTATATTGGAAAAGTCTTTTCACAAGCAAAAATGATGATCATAATTCTATATGCGGCTCCATAGACATATTTTTAACAGGCAATATCTTAAAATTGGCTCTTTGTTCCAAAAAGGTTGCCGACCGACTCACAATTCCATATGATACAATCAGGTGAAAGTATATGAAGTTATCAATTCTTTGAAAACAAAAGTATTTCATCTGGATTAATTTATTAAAATTACTATACGAAATAATACACAGCAAAATGATTCCTTTAATTATGAATTTGTTATGCTTTTTAATTTATAGCGGATCATCTTTATTATTACTCAAGTTTCTTGATGCGGATTGAATATAGATACATATCTATAATAGAAAACCAATTATTTTACAGAAATTCTCTGCATTTTAATTTGGGATAAATGAACATAACTGGAAAAATTGAACAAATTGGATGCAATTGCAGGCCTTCCAAAAACGGAGGCAAAATTGCTTTATTATTTTAGGTTACAGACACTGAATTGGTGCTGCGGCTATTCTTAAAAGAATGCATTCTGAAATTTTGACTACGTTCTCGATCGTCGGTGTTTAAAGGATTTCATAAGGAATTTAAACTCCTTTCCATGTTTACTCTGAAACAATTCTAAGGATGTTGGATGCTCTTTCTTCGCACACACGGACTACTTTTAAACTCGGTGATTTATCCAGTTTAGAGTTTTTCCCTACCTAATCGGAAGATAAAAGCAGAAATGGAAATACTAGGTCAACGGCTATGATACTTCTACAATTATTACATCAACGATATACATGGGATCGGGCTATAATATGATGTTAAAATATCAACATTTATGCACGACTTTGGAATTGGAGTTTTAGCGAAATTAAGTATCGATGTACTGAGCGTATCGTACTATCATTTACTATTACTTAAATCTATAAATTTGATAAATAATCGGGACTTACTGATCTAATTAGAAGGTTTATACCTCGTTATTGCATCACACATAAACCAAATGAAAAACTCGAGTAATATAAAAATCGATATTCCTGAAATATACTCTGATCCATCACAGCAAACCCACGGAGATGATTACACGTCGGTGTTTCCAGAGACTATCAGTTGTTCATATTCTAAGAAGTCGATTTATGCAAAAACAGCGGACATATATTAATTCAATCAAAGCAGTTTAATCGAATTACATTTATTTATACTTATAGATGCCTGATTGTTGGAAATTATTTGTGTGAAGCTTGGATGTGTACAATCTGTGATATTAAGGCTTCCAACAAATAATTAATATTATCCTTTTATAATGACGATGTTGCTGAATTTAAAATATGAAAGGAAATTTATGCTGAATCTACACATTCCTGTTAAATGTTCGGGTATAGAAGATGTAGTGAAATCAAAGATCGTAGGTTTTCTTTGAGAAACGTACCTAATTTTAAGAAATAATAGTTTAATGAAATAGCTTAATGAAAGTCTCTTTTAAGTTTACTGAAAAAAAAGCAATCAAAACATTCTAAACCTATGAGAATGTTTTCTTTTTGCTCATACTAGCTAAGTATGTGGTTCAATTTTAAATTGTTTTCAAGTGGAATTAGAATGATAAATTAGATTTTTTAAATTTTTGCTCGTCTATAGGATAACGCTTTGAAATGCAATGTATAATATGAACATTGTCTTCGTTGAATTTATGACTTCAATTGGTGGACTGCAAAGGTGTTGTTTTTTTGGAGTGAGATCTTCCAGCTGCGAGGGTTTACTGAAGATGCTGAAATTTTCGGATTTGTTAGAAACAGTAACGTTTTCTAATTACGAGTGCTACAATTTACTATTTTTTAAAATAGCTTAAGGTATTTTACTTTATTTTTACTTAAAAAAAATCCATTTACTATCGCGTGGATTTATTTTGTTACTTGAGTTTATATGGAAATGTATTCAGGTAACTAAAATATTTATACATCTTATATCACTGTCATAGATAGATTGTTTTTGGTTGTGGCTTTTTACTTAAAGAATGTCGTAAAATTACATTAAAACGTATTGAACTTCGGTCAAGGATCATACGACCATAAGCCTACAACTATTTAATCACATCTCGACTCTTTGTTATGTTTGTGACAATTTTATATTGCATCATCAGTGATATAAGTTCATTTGTTCAATAATTACTACGAAATAGCCTTTTGTATATTGTTACTTATACAATGAATTTTGTTATTATTAACTACTACGATTCTATAATTCTATACAACTATTTAATCATATCTCGACTTTTGTTATGTTTGAACAAATATTTAAGACACAATTTGGAACCGTGTTTTTTTTACATTGACGCACTCCCACTTTATTAGCTACAAAAACAGTTGATATTTACATGCATCTTTCATGAATACCAATTATACAATGATATTTAATGACTTCGAAAAAAGTTGTTATATAATAGCTTTATATTTTATAAACAGTTAGAATTTGTTTAAATGTCACTACTTAGCTAATGTTGTAACGTTTGAAATGCGGTAATTTTAATCTTAAGTCGTTTACTTATTCTTACTCATAAGAAATATATATTGATGCTTTTTTGGAACGGGCCGTATAAGTTTTTTACATAATACTCTAAAATATATTAATTTAGACTCTTAAGACGGAGGGATCGAGATCTAATATTTCTTAAGGATACATAGATTATGAGCAGGTAATATTGCAATTGTAAATATTGCAATTGCAATATTTTTTATGTACCCAGGAGAATTTCCGAACATCTTTATTATTCTCAAGAATTCACTTTTTACCCCATTTGCAGAAATTTAGTCTGGTTTGCCAACCCTTTTATGGAGACATAATATTTATTTCCTATAATTTCTTTTTATGAATGTAAATACCATCGAATAATTATAATATGGGTTGAATTATTGCGATCAATAACCATTGTTTATATGTTTGCATTTATGTAATAAATAATTATTATTAATGTAATAATTATTCAAATAAATACATACAAGATATTAATTATTGGTACTGCAAAACAGATTATAATTATCATCAAATATTATTGTTACGTTTAAATATTGTGAATATTTGCACGTTTGTATTACATTTGTGATGATATTATGTACTAAGTTCTTTAAAAATAATCAATATATTCACCATTGACTATAAATAATTACCTACAAAAAATATACACAAAATTCACATGGATCATGAGACTCGTCTTTCCAGTTACTATATACATTTTCTTAAAAAATAATTACATGGAAGTTATATATATACAATTTATTTTAATATATACATTTGAAAATATTGATATTTACAAAGATGATTTGTAAATTAGTTAATCGATTCACAGTATATGTCAAAATAAACTATGAATTCATAATATTAATTAGTTATATAATAATTCGTTTAGCTTTATAGATAAACTTATTTAATTCTGCTTTATATGAAAACTTTATATTGCATCCTCTGTGATACAAGTTAATTTATTTAATAACTACTAAGATTTCATTGTTGTCGATCAACAGTGAATTTTACTTTTACACTATTTATTTTTTTCAGAAATATGTAGAAACTAAAAATTCTGAACTCTAATAATTATGAAAAATTGTTTTCAAAAACGATTGTTTATAATAAATGCACAACAATTTTATTAACTTATGCAAGTAATTATATCTGAGAATTATCGACCATAGTCTTTCTATCGTAGATATGATTAATATCCATTAATAATTCAATAATTTTGAGCATTTCTTTTTAATCGGCAATGAGTATATAAGAGTTGAATACAGTTATGACTTGTTTGTTTACTTAAAATCGTGTTCAAGAAGAGAAAACTTTTATTGGCTTCCAGATGAGCGTTATAATACGCCTGCAGAATCTGCCGTGGTCGGCAAACGCACTTGACATCAGGAATTATTTTCATGGTCTTTCAATACCCGAAGGTGGAGTTCATATCGTTGGCGGAGAATTAGGGGATGCATTTATTGCTTTCAGGTACTTACAAAAAAAAAAAGAAAAAAACAGAAACAATTATCCTTTCCAAGAGAATATGAAGTAATTCACGCCTAATATTATTCTAGTACTGATGAAGATGCTCGACAAGCTTTTAACAGAAACAATGGTAAAATTAAGGAGATTCAAATAAAGTTATTGCTCAGTTCTCGAACGGAAATGCAAAAGGTCATCGAGGCCGCAAGGAGCCAATCGATTGCTGCATTTATGGGAAATGTGCAAGCGCAACCAGCCATTTCCACTCCCATAATGCCATCCATTGTTCCGGCAGCCGTCCCTGAACTTAATGCAAACATTAATAAAAAGGATGACAAGGGCGAGAGTAGACGTGACAGGCGGCGTTCGCGTTCCAGGTCACGGGATCGCAAAGATAGGTCGTACGACAGGAAGCGCGACGGCAGACGCAGGGACAGAAGTAGGTCGAAGTCGAGGGATCGTTCCAACAGGGATCGTAGACGTCGGGATCGCAGTAGGAGCAGGGATCGCTCCAAATCCAGGGAGCGCGATCGCAAAAGGGGAGACAGTCGCAGGAGCCATGATAAAACCTTGCAACCGAATAAGAAAGAACCTAGGGTCGGCGTCTGGGAAGCTCCGCCGCAGGCCCTCCTCGGAGCTCCTTCAAATCCAGCCACAAATCTTCTTGCCAGCATCGTAGCAAACAATCTTCTTCCAAATATATTAAATGGCAACAATAACTTCAACCGTTGGGATGGCAATAATCAAAACTTTCCAATGAATGAAGGCAACAATATGTACAATGATGACCAAATTCACGAAAATCAGGTGTTGGAAAATCCTAATTGTTGCGTTCGTTTGGAGCCGTATTTCGGCCCCTTCAGCGAGATTCGTCGTTTCTTCCAAGGATTATCAATACAAAATAAAGGTATCAAGTTGATTAACGATAATCACGGTAAACGGACGGGGCTTGCATACATACGATTTATGTATCCTGCTGGTAAGGATGAAGCGCTCGGCAGGAGCGGAGACAGAATACGAAATCAAACTATCACCGTTCTTCATTTGGATGATAGGGAATTCGACAACGCTGTAGATAGATACAATCCAAAGAACGATCACAAAAACGAGGAGGGAGGTAAATCATATCATGCTGGAAGTTTGGGATTTACCTGCTTGACAATTCAAAATATGCCACACTACATATACGAGCAAGATATACAGGATATGTTTTCCGATTATCCGTCGATAGCAATCGCAATAGAATCAAGGCACAACAAGAAAAGTGTTTACATTAAATTTAACCATCCGGACGAAGCAATGCGAGCACTTAATGAAACCGAAACACATGTTTTCGAAGGGAAACACGTTAAAGTGGAGCCCTGCAACGATGATTTCTTCGAAAAAGTCCGAAGCGATAATTCCACCAACACCCCACCAAGTACAACAATTATTATATCGGGATTACCTATGAAATGCTGCGAGAACGATATTATGGATTTCTTCTCGGACATCGGCGTAATGCCATCTAACATAAACTTGCTGATGGATGACATGGGTTTCTCTGGTGAAGCCAAATGCGACTTCTATAATATAGAGGATGCTGTTCAAGCATTTAATAAGAACGGTACGATGTTCGGTAATGACGTGATTTCCATGCAATACGAAAGTAAAGATATCCCGAATCCTCCGCAAGTTCATCAACAGCATCCCAGAAGAGGTCCTATGGTAAATCCTATGGGCATAATAAACCAACTAGCAATGAATGTGGGCCCCAGACCGCCATTCTTTATGCAACGCGGAGGCGGTGGATTCATGGGTGGTCCACCTCGCCCACCTCCTCGAGGCCCTCCAATGATGTTTGGGGGCGGCGGTCCGAGAGGACCCCCAATGCGTCGCTTTCCACCAGCGCAGCAAATTCAGCAGCAGCCCAGGGACAACTACGACGAAGAATTGGCACCGCCCGGGTGCATTTTATTAATGGAAAACGTTCCTTACAAAGCGGGTCTCGACGAGATTCTAGAATATTTCGAAGGAAATTTCGATGTCCCTAGAGACAATGTTCTGCGCAGATACAATCAGCACGGTCTACCCACCGGCGAAACAAAAGTTATTTTCAATTCACCCGACGAAGTGTTCAATGCTATTCAAATTTTAAAAGGCAAGAGGATACGTGACCGCATGATATACCTTTCACAATTATAGTAACTACTGATTATGTTAAGTTCAATTAATTAATTATGTAAATTAGTTTGTATTAAAAATGAGAAGGCAACGTGCGCCACAGATGAATGGATGTGCGTAACATAGCATGAACAATATTAGTTGCAGATAATGGTAATGAACGTTCCATCACTGAATTGTGATAATGAAGTCCTGGATTAATATCACAAATGGTATTTGAATTTTGGATGCTTCTTAAATGCCTATTATTCCATTGTATATAATGACGATTGTTTTCTTTATTATTTTTTAAGAATATTGATGATTTTGCAAGACGACAAATAGTCGTGAGAAATAGTGTTGTGGAGATAAATATATTTTTGATTACCAAATAAACTGTTCTATATTTTTGTTGTGTTTACATCTAAATAGATGATATTTGTTTGGAATACATACGGCTTTAATAATGAAATAATTGGTACAATTCATAGCTTCTAGAAATAGATGAAATTACATAATTTTTGTATTACATTTTGTAAAAAAGTAATAAATAATTGAAGATTTTTTTTTTGTACGTTCCGTTTTTATTTACTCATCTTTATACAATATTACTTATATTTTTTACAATTTTGGTATCTACAGATATTTATATTTTTGCGAAATACAATCTTAAAATTTCTAATATTTAATATAATCGACTGTATTTTACATATACATGCCATATAATAAAGATGAGGACATTACCAAAATAGTAATACTCAAAATATTGTGTCCCGCTTATGTAACAATGGACATATTATTTGTTATTAAACATAATGTACATAGTTGAAGAATTATAACTAATCGCAATTACTTGCAAATATTATCTCATAGTAATAATGCATTATACTCATTTATTGATATATATTTGAAGAATTCTATTGAGTATTTATATAAGTACAATTATTTTCATGGAAAATTTCGCTCGCATAAATTCATTTTCATTTGTAATGAGGACTGAGAATACTCAGAAACTTCTGTTTCATTATCCATGTATTTTACCAATGTTAATAAATAATACAAATACAATTTTGTTTCATTCGAATTTTATCTAATTTACAAATTAAATTACCGAGATTACTTTATGATTACGAGTATAGTAATGAAATTACCAGAAAATTAATTTACAAAAATATTGGTTTTATAATTCCGTAATTTATAATAATTCATTAGATATGCGTAAACTAGCAACACCTTGCAGAGTGTTCCACCCATATCCTGGACTGTTTGAATTCGGACTAATCTAGGAACTATTTAAAATAGAAATAAACCAAGAAAAGAGACTTGACTGAATAGCACAGATCACCAAACTTTTTTGTCCGTCAACCTTTTGAAGAGTTTTTTGATACTATAACAATTTTAAAATAATCTTGTTGACTGGTCTGTATGTCATAAAATTGAAAACAAGTCTGTCGTGTAGAAAGTATGATTCTTATTTCCTATCGACCATTGAGCAGAAATAAACCCAATGTTATATCTACCCTTACTGTATAGTGAATCTGGACTGATCGAAGCGGCAATATGCGAGGTAATGCTATTTATAGTTCTTATACTACTTTTAAGGGTAATTAAATTTGAGAAAATCGCTTTATGTATTTTTATTGACAATTTAAATTCAATCATAATTTGTCGATAGAATCGATTCATGCAATTGATTATAATAAACAAATAATCAGTGTTTCTATAGACATGCATAATTGATCTCAACTCTCTTTTAAATGACAATATTACTAATTTATTCTTTAAGCATGTCATTGAACATGTATTGAGTAGTAAATCAGAAGTCATTCGAGATTACCGAATTAAAATTGAAACATTTAGAAATATAATATGTTAATACTTTCTTGGTATTCAATTGTTCAATATGTTAATATATAATTATTCAAGATGAATAATTTAAGTAAATTGCTACTCTATAAATCTGTCATCTTTATATTTCTTTGAAAAAAAAAAAGCTATTTTATTACGACGGTTTACTTGAATGTTTATACACAATTTTACACAGTTTAATATACCATTTCTCATATTATACTAACAATAGCTTCATGGAAATTGTATTGTATAACTTTTGGAAAGTAGAGAGATTAATATCATATTATAAATATTATATATATAATAAAAACACTATGATCAAATCAAGTAATTGCATTTTTTTTTAAATATATTGGCTTAGTTGAGATAAATATAAGATAAAAGAAACATATTGTATGTAATTACTTTTCATTTTTATTTACAAATAATGTTCTAGGTGAGCGATAAAAGTCAATCAAGCTATTGAAAATTAATTATAGTTAAACACGTGTATGTCCATATATGTAGAGAAATATATTATATTTGCAATTCATAACTGTCTTTCTATATATGTAGTTTATATGATGATAAGAAAAATATATTATTTATTATTTTATTAACCTTTCATGTCATTACACAAACTTGTCTTTCTTTAAAATTGTTAATTAGTCTAATGAAGATTCAAAGTAAAGATAGTTTATAAAGTTTTATCCATAACATATATAGTAAGCTCTCAATTACATGATTATTATGAGATTTGACTTCTGTTCTTGCACGTGACAAAGTGTACGTTGGAACGAAATATTATATTCAGTTGTTGATATACAAATTATAGATATTTGTTCCAACGCTTATACGTTTATTGAAGTAACAAATGGTTACATATCATTCTAATTAATTGTGTTCGAAATGGACACGTATAGTAAGAAATTTTCTTAAATATTTCTATGCAAGTAAAACCATTAAAGAAAATGCCAAGTGTAGGAATGCGTTTTCATTAAATAAATAATTAACAGCAATATATTTGCCCGCTTAATAATACAACAGTTTCAATGAGAAATAAATTTCGCAAGCATTCTCAATTGAATGGACGGGGGATGGAGAGCATCGAAGAATGGCAAGAAAAAACGACGAAAGCAGTTTAATTATTTGACCGAATCACGATTTATTCAATGATTGTGCGAATCCTCGAAGCCATTTATTATCATTGACGTATGACAAGACAAATTGCAGAGTACACAATGCTATTTATTTACTCGCCGTTGACTTCACCTTCTCGATGTTAAATAAACCGACGTTAGACAAACACACATAAAAAAAATGTGGAAGGCGAGTTATTAATTGTCTAATTTGTATAATCCAAATAAATATGTTACTAAAATTAGGCAGCTCAAAATGTTATGTCTGGAAGATGTTGCGTAATCCTCACAAAAATAGGAAGCGCGTATAACATTTCAATTTCTTGTTGAAGATCGAGTTACCGAATAAGCAAGTGTGTGTTCCACTACATACCAAGTTGATGCACCACTCGATTCACTGTTTCAGTTGAAAACATAATTATAATTCTATTTGTAACGCATTCAGTAAGTCTATATACAAATGTAGTTTCTTTTTGTATAATATTAGCATGGTAGTAATAATGTATGAAAAAAATATATGATTTTATTTATAACAAATGTAAATTAATTTAGATGTTTAGCACTCTATTGCTACTCTAATGAGTAGATTATAATTTTTATCTATTAGATATATTAACATTTTTGCAATTATAGACAGTTTTTTTTGTAAGATGTGAAATGGACGATAAATTATATTTTTTGTGCTTATTAATTATGCATTTATTTTATTTTCAAATACGATTGTGTTTGTTCACTTAGATGTTATAATTAGGTATATCGTCAGTGCGGCAAAAAGGAGTATCAAATGCAAATCGCAGACACCCATGCATTATGGAATATGACCACGAGGAGTATTTTAACATATGCAATTTGTAATGGCAAATAAATTTGTTTCTTATTTATAGCAGCAACACGTATATTTTCGGGGCGATAATAGCTCTTAAATTTCACGAGGCGACGTCCTGAATGATATACAGTGACACCACTTGGGTGGTAAGTGTTTGAGCCGTGTTGCTTTGTGTGCTAAAGAGGTTTCGGCCGCGGAAAGCGCCCGAAGAGCAACCAGGAAGAAAAAAACAAACAGAGTTGCGCATTATAAATTTAAAATTGACTTGCAAAAAGCGGCAGCACTTTAAATAAATTATAGATTCGCAAATGAAATGGAAGAAGAAGAAGCAAATTTTTGAACACCGCGCGTTTATTAATACCGACTATAAATAAACCGGGCCCGAATGACCTTCCTGGTTCGAGTTTCATTTATTTTGAATATCTCGAGAAACTCGCATAAACGTAAACACACACGCAGAGGTGTAAGTGTGTATGCACAATGATTGTAGCTTTTAGATCGTATCTGAACGGTGTTTATTGTTGCGGGAAATTAGAAATACGTGTATCCAGACGGTTGCGATATTCCAATTGAAAAATGTCACGGCTGTAACGAGCAAATATTTCTTCAGATAAAATACCAATCGATTTAATTACACGCGTATGCAAAGAAATGGATTAATGCTTGTTAATAAAGCGAAATTGAATGTGTATATCCTAATTTGGTTGCTACAAATAAGGTGTTATAATAATAATCAATATCTTACCTTTTAAGCTAACCAAATGACTGTAATTATTGAAATTGCGCTACTGCGATCATCTTACACAACATTTAGTAATCTTTAGGAAATATGAGAAACTTATTCTTTCACTTTTTCTTATAAATATTTAAGATTTTCATCAATTAATATGCAAATATTATATACAGTTGATTACGATTTTTACGATTTAAAAGACTTATTTGTGTAAATATGCAATACAGAGAATGGTAATTGTTAAGGGGTGGCGTATATATTAGCTTGTCGCTCATTTAGCCAGAAAATATAAAATATATACATGATATTTATAAGATAGAATAAAAAAAACTTAGTTATTGTGGAATGTGCTTATAAGTTAGCTAAAGAAAAAAAAATATGAACAGTGGTGTGTGATACGTAACATAGACATTAAGTTAGTTGGCAGGGTTTGGTTGGGAGAGGTTTGGGTCTGGGTTTAGGAACATGGGTTTGATGGTGTTAAATATACAGTTAAACTGTGATTACTTATATTATGTAGTAACAGAAATTTTAATATTTAAATACTCGGATTTTGTGAAGGATGCAGTTTGTACCTATTGCTTACTGTATACTTGCCTTCTATAGAGAAGACAATAATAGCAACGATGACACTGCAATTCTTTCGTCCAATGCAATCCTAGCATGAGCATCGTCAGATTTGTAAGAAAACCTTGATCCATGATTAGCTAAATAGATGGATTGAAAACGATACAAAAGCGTTGCATATCACGATTATAATGAGATATGGCTTCTATACCAACAATTTTGATGGTAGTTAAATAACTTTAAATGAAGAATAAATTGGAAAAAACATACTACAGAAGGAATTTAAGTCAAAAATACTTAAATTAAATCAATGATTTACGATTAATACAAAAAATAATAAGCCCATATTCCTAATATACTGATAAATCTATTGGTAGCAGAGAGTAGAACCGAAATTAATTTTTGTTCTGGTTTACGGTTACATTGTTATATGTTTATCGTTCCAGATTCGGTTTCGGTTCGTTTAAAAATTTCGATTC